CCCTTCTATGGCAAATCATTTAGTTATATCTTAGGACTATATTACATATAATTTTTATATAATATAACCTACTGGCCAGTACTGGAAGCCCAATTACCCGACCGCTCCATTCGGGTTACGGCTTAATATGGCCTTCGGGTCGGTTTATGAAGGTTATAATTAATTAAATTCAATATAATCTTAATTATTAGTATAAGATAATGTAATGTAAGGCGTTTGGAAGCTCTACCCCGGCTAATTTGCCGCAATGGCCACCAATTTAGTTTTTACCGAATATGCGGTGGCGATGGCCACCCGTGGCTAAATTTATCAATTTAAATATTAAAAACGTTTTAAGGACAGGTAACAAGCAAATTCCCGAAAATTCGATATAAATCGGTAAATGTTTGGCCGCAAATCACCCGATAACCGAGTAGTTGTTATAAATATTTCCTACCCATTTTTTAATTATATTGAATTAAAGTTAATTCTGTTGGGAGTTTTACAAAAATTTATAGTTTATTTTGTATATTTAGACAAATTATACTCTAAAATAAGATGATTTCAAAATTAAACATCACAATTTATTAATTGTGAGCTAAATATAGTAAATGTTATAGCTCTTTCTTGGACTGTATAACCGGTTCCGCAACACATGTCCACAATTATGTCGTATTCCCTACAAAAACATTTACAAATATTACTTCTATTGTTATTTAAATTAATATTTTAAATCACAATTGAGTATAGAATAATGTGGTTTGTAAGATTGTCCTGCACACTCTATGAGATTTAACATGGGAACCATGGTTAATCATATGGCTATACATACGTGAGCCTAATAATTTAGTTGCCTTGGGACGGGTATTTTAAAATCTATTTCAGATTTTTGTTAAACCCCCCGGCCGTTGTGCACCGGGAAGGGGATTGTAAGGTATAAACATCATCTCAATTAAAGTTTACAGGATCAATTTTCAAAATCAATACATGAAATTCAATGTTTACGGTTATTAAAGGCAACAAGTAAATTCTCAATTTTTTATAAAATATTTTTTGCATTATAATTAATTATCCCCTATATTGCCATAATTAATTAGCTCGCTTAAACAAAATAAAAAACATTTATTTAAGCTCCTGCCTATTTAAGGTTATATCTTATTATATGTAGTAATCAAATACAAATTGTGTCCCTCAGGAACACTATATACCTGTTATCGGCCACCAATTTGCTCACCAATTGTCTGGCGTTCTCCTGAGCACCAGTCGATTGTTTCTCATATTCAATAGCCGTAACATTCATTATGGATTATAAATTACTTTAACAGCAAATTAATTAACTTGGTACTATTACCTATAATAAAATTAGTGCTCTACTGTTTCTAAGCATAATTCTAACATGAAATTAGTTTATGTAGGATGCAGTGATATGACACGTTTTACTTTTTAAACATGTTCAATGTAAAGGATACTTTAGTGAATACTAGAATATCTATGATAGGTTATAAAGAAATGGTTATAAGGTTAAGTAAACATTAATCTAGTGAGAACTAACAAAAATTTAATTTTAAAAAATTAGGTACATAGAATATTCTGGAAAGTAAAGTTATGTTATGCTTGTAATGCATTAAAACAACATTATAATGATTTAATTACAAAAATGAAATATCATATAAATGTAAAAATATCATTACTTTCAAATTTTAAATTACTAAACAAAACCTTAATTAATATTACAGTAACGGCAATATAAATATGTTTATTTAATTAAATAAGCACAAAATTACAAACAATTTCAAAATCCGTTTTAAAAAGCAGTTTCTTAAGTAAAATTTTATTTTGATTAGCAATTAAAACACTATATAAACAATATCTCAATAATTATTTTCCCCAAAATTATTTTTTTTATCATTATAAAAGGCATAAGATAAAAATGTCAGTTACATATAACTATACAGGTAAAGTGGCCCTGATCACTGGGTCAAGTTCGGGTATTGGTGCGGCCATAGCCCTAGAGTTTGCCAAATCGGGAGCCAATGTTGTGGTGACGGGACGTAACGCCGGGCGAGTGTCAGAAGTGGCCAAACAGTGTCTCGACGTATCGCCCGATGGCTTGAAAGCGCTGGAAGTGGTGGC